TTCAAGTGGTTGCAATCTGCAACTTCACTGCTAGATGCCACTAAATCCTACACACTGGTGCTTTAAATGTAGATCCAGCAGTGTGAAGCAGCTGTAAGCCAAGTCAGAGGAAAAATACCAGCCAGCCAAAAAAAAAAAAAAAAACTGAATGTAGCTTCTGAATGAACATCTGACTCTTATCCGACTGTGTGCTCATGTGACTGAATGGGCGAGTGTTCAATGAAGACTGAGCTGGTTCCTTTTCCGTGGATGCTGGTTAGTTTTCACAGTATCTCGGTCTTCATTTTGGTTCAGAGCTGAAAACCTGCTGCCTCCATTTGTGCTCTAAGCATGATCTCAAACCCGTAATCCTGCATGAGTATACAGTACGTCACTGGAGAAGCTACCCCCTAACATGGCGTGGCTTGATGAAATGTCTTACTTTTCCTACACACTAGCTGAAACCTGGCCAAACACAGTTCAAAAGGTAATGTTAGACTAGACTAACAGTCCAGCTCAAAGACCACAAAGACGCCCACCAGGAGGTGAAAACCTACACACACATTAGTCAAAACAACTCTAACTACTATCTGCATGTATTTACAAGGCAGAGGGACAAAGTTTACATTTTGCAGACAAGCATGCAAAGCTCCGGAGTGAGATTGATCGGACACTGATGGACATGTTGAGAATTTCTGATAGGTAGCTTGGCAGGTTGGACATGCCTAATTCCAGAAATAGGGTTTTCATGGGCATAATATTGTCATGCTGGTGCTCTTCTATGGCGATCGTGCCAAGACCAGGAAAAGAAGCCAGCACAGTCATCAACAGGGAGGAAGAGGAGGAGGTGTAGGAGGGAGTAATTAGAAGGGAGGAATATTTGAAGTCAAATGTCTAGAACAGTCTGTCAGGAGAAGGTTGCACTCCCTTGAAAATCAAAACAAAAAAATGCAAAACAAACAAAAGAAAAAAAACATTGCAAGGCAGGATGATCTAATTCAAACCTACCAAGACCTACCAATCTTTTTACCAATCCACAGCTCAGCTGGAAACAGAAATGACTGCTGAAGACTCCTGGATATGGTGAAACTTCAGCAGCATCTTCACAGTGGAGCCAGAGGGGGTTCATGTATGCAAGAAGCATGTATGCATGTGTAGCTGTTCAAGCTAAATGGTAGCAAGAGCAAGCTCCTGCTTGTCTACGGGTTGTAGATATGCACTTAAATGAGCTGTAGTTTGCATCCAGTAAAATATCCAAGGAGATGGGCAGGGCTGAGGGGTGACTAAAAAAGTAAATGGGAGAGAAAAGGGCAGCAAATTGCTCAATGCACAATGTTTTTCTTACCATACTGGCTATAAGGGAAGTCAGGCTGCCCAGTAGGAGCTTTGCTCAAGTCCTGAGTTGGTGTGGTGGCGGGGGCAAAGCCCAGAGGAGCAGTTCCTGGAGTTGTGGGCGGAGGAGGAACCTGTGGAGCATACTGGTCTGCTTGGGGTGTGCCGAAACTGTAACCTGTTGGAGAGTAATACGATCATTTCTCTGACTTTCCCCTAAAGATCATTTCCTAGTGGTGATTTATCACAGATGGTTTACTATGTATGAGTACAAAGGCCTGAGCCAGCGTTAGTGTTCCTGAGTAAAACACAAAATATCTTCCATTAGTTTGACTTCAGTTTTTAGTTGCATTTTGAATGTAAAAAAAAACACCACTATTAAAAGGTATTAATCAATTTCTTCACCAAATCTTTCCTCAGTTTAGGCTGTAAAAACAGGTTGTATGAGCCATGTCTTTTAAATATCAGCTGCCAGATCACACTGTGACAATTCTGCCAACACACAACCACTGTTTTGGGGTTCTTTCCCACTCTAATATTTCGCTATCTGCTAACAGGTTTAATAAGTGGAAGGTAATAATTATTTCCCCTACAGGCTTTTTAGCAACATATCATGAAATGCTGGGTATCTATTAGTCATGCTGTCCATGTCTGATAAGGTGGAGGTTCCTCCCTAACCACAGTAACAGCAAAGCTGCCTGGAAAACCTGACACAGATATAATTAACACATTTAACACAAGTTTAAAAAATGTTTCTTATAAAATGTTTACAGTGTTGATGATGTAAATGCAATTGTGAGGATTTGGTGCTCTGAAGAAGGGAACTTCTAGAGATATAAATGTGAACTAGAAACACAACTAAACATTCACAGTGCTTCATTTAGATATGCTAAATTACCTGTAAGCACTTTGCAGTGATGTAAACAAAACACCAAAGTGTAATGAGGGAGTGTTTCAGTATTACTGACCAAACTGAGGTGCTGTGCTGTAGCCCTGCTGAGGGTAGCCCTGAGGTGCAGCAAAGCCGCCCGCCGGGGTCGTGACCAGGAATGCGTTGAAAGGTGACGGAGGTTGTGTGGGGGTTCCACGACCTGCCGATAACGGAGGTCCATACCCGCCTGCTCCAACACAGAATAGATCTATTTTATAGAAATGTTGTGACATAAATATATGCATGTTTTATATAAACAAACAAAACTTGAATTAAGTTCACAGGCTAGTGTAAAAACTAAAAACATTTCTTAATAAAAGCAGTGGTAAGTTAACGTAAATTTAACTCAAACTTTAGTGAAAGAGAACTGAGTAAGTGCTAACATTTGTACGAAGAAGTAGTCTTACTTTATTACAAGAAATTCTTCTTAAACACAATTGAAATATATTTGGAAAAATGCTGCATGAGTGTAATGTACTTACTAGTTTAATAAACTGAATGTAATTGGTAAAACCTAATTTACCCAAGTCACCCTAACAATTAATACTTGAGTAACTTGTACTACAATCAATCAATTAAACAAGTTGAACTAACTCATCAGATTTTACATTTCAATTATAAAAAGACAACAATGATGTACTGTATCTGAATTGCATCAGTTTGAATCTGTTATGCTCTTATTGAATAGCAGAATAACATAAAGTTGATAAATAAATGGTTTTGCAGAACACAATCTGAGGCTCAATGAAACTGAGTGAGCCGGGCCGACACTGCAGTGAGCATTGCAGGTTGACCCGGAGGTGGTGATATGAAACCGAGCCTGACCAATACCAGGGGGAGGCTGGAATCTATTCAAGGCTGCCATCTGTCTCAAGCAGCAAATTATCAGCAGCCTCAGCCATTATGAATCAGTGATAACACGTGCTGTTAACTGTCATCAGGCTATTGGCCACACAGAGTGCAAACCCATTTCTGTGACATAAACGCTTAAAGATTAGCACACGATCACATGGCAAAGACACAAAATCTATCCGCAGTTTTATCAATTCACAGTTATGCAACAAGCAGAAATAAAAACCCCAACTAATTCACTAAAATGGAAAGAAAAGATATTTTCTGTGTGTTGTCAAGTGGAGGTCAAACACCTACCTATGGGTTGGCCGGTAGTCGACACCCACACTCCTTCAGGAAGAGAAAAAAAAACAAAAAAAAAACTTTAGACTGGAGACAAAACTGTTGCCAGAAATGTAAAATGTTCACAGAATCCAGTTTAACATTTAACTGAGAGTGCGAGCGCTGACCTACATGCACAAGGTTATTGCTAAAGCAGTGGGTTTAACACATTTAAACAGTTACTACTACGCCGTCCTCCAAACGGCAAGCCTCACTCGCTCAGCTCCAGGACCTTTTCCCACTCACCCTGTGGCCCGTAAGGCTGTTGCCAGCCCTGGGCAGGCTGTGTTGTCCAACCATTAGCTGCACTCAAGATGCCCCTGGGTGCCCACTGGCCAGGGCCAAGCTGGCCAGGAGCTTTGCTGTCGCGTGGTTCAGCCTTCTTCACTTCCACCTGGGCAAAGGGACAAGGAGGGCACATTTGGCAACACCAGTATAAGGTCCATGAAGTCCCTCACCTAGCAGAGCTGTCCTACCGCTGATTATTTAATCTCAACATTTTGGGCCAGTTTGAAAATCTTTCACTTTATGTTTATCAGAATAATGAGGGGCAACTATGTGAATTAATATTACTGTGTAGACAGGAGAGCTGTACAGCTATGTGTCTCAGGTACTAAATATAAGCAGAAAGAAAATCATAATGAAAAGAATGATACACGGTGTTTTTGGAAACGCATCATCTCCAGATCACAGCCTCTTAAAAATGTACCTGAGAAACATAGATTTATTTTATTTTTTGCCCTATATATGATAAAGACATCTAATGGAAGGTCATGACTTACCTTTCTCCATCTAACGCTTATAAAGAATCTCATTTTTATTTTATTTGGAATAAGTTTTAGGGGGATAAATGGATGTAGAGAGAAATTTGGTTCTAACAATATATATAACGGTAAACATGCAGATAGTACAAATAAACAGTCTTTTCAGTCAATCTAAAATTGAATCTTCATACTGTGTCAGACGTGAGAAAAGATTTTTTTCAATTGAGCACAAGTGACAAGGTAACCTCAAGTTTATTTTTGCTGATTCAATTAAAATATAATAATTTAAAAAAAAAAAAGACTAATAGTCCGAAAATTGTTGCTTTATATGGTCGATTTGTGCACTCAACACTGAGAAACTGACTTTATCCATCCATTACATTACTTAAATTTGACTTTTACATATAGTTATCATCCAGTTTAATGCCTTGGGTCAAATACATTTATTGCCCCAAAAACAAAAACTTCCCTTGCTGTAACTAGGCAAAGCTACCAGCAGTTAACCAGAGCAAGGAAACAGGCTGAGACTAAGGGGGAGCCAACCAGAAATAGACTGAGGGGTTGAGTTATTGGGGTCACCTTGCAGGAGGAAAACGAATCACAAATTCCTCCCAGCTTTAAGGTGTTGCCACCTTCCCCAGCCTCCCCTCTTCCTTCTCTGTCGACCTAATTACATGCACATGTTTCCGGCAGTGGCCTCGCCGCCGCCGGCAGCTACCTGAGCACTTTCTCCCGTGGGCATCACAGCTACGAGTGATGGATACCATGACTTCTGTACAGTCCCCAACAGCAGAACTGGGATTTGTTCCACAGTTTGATGTGCTCCAATTTCTAATTTTGTAACTCATATCTCCCAGCCTCCCTCAAGTCCCAGCGTAAGGTAATGTCAAGTCAAGAACAATGGATTAAGTCGAGCCTTGATTCCTGCTGGAAACCAGGGCAAAGTCAAGGGGGGCAGGTACCACTGGAGAGCACACAGGTTGGGCTGAATCATTTACCAAGGAAATGGGATTCGGATAATCTTTTTAATGCAATAATCGGTGACATTTCAATAAAAATGTCTCCTGTTGTTACTCAATATTATTGATTAGCGTGACAAAAATCGGTCTGGTTCAGGAAAGCTTTTTACAAAACAAGTCTGGTAGCTTTCCTCTGGGAAAACTATTAATTGATACACATGTAAGTAATGCTTTTCATTTATAGTATAGCTTACAACAAACAGAGGAGGGATTTCCTGGGGGTCAGGTGGTTTGAGCTGGTGATGAACTGCGACGTGTCAGGTTCAACTCCAACCAGGGACCTTTGTCATTCCCCATCTCTCTCTGTCATCTTTCTACTGATGACTCCCAAATAAAAAGGGCACAAAAAAATTACTTTTAAAAATCCCCATGACAAAGAGAGCTTCACCTACAGAAACTCAGGCTTCATCAAGACGTAAATCCCAAAAAGAAAATACACTCGTTCTGCTCTCACTATTCTAGCAAATGCAGAAACGTCCCAATTATTAGCAATTTTTAGTAAAAATGGACGCTGCTTTGATTAAATAATGCCATGTAAAGATCAGGACTAGAAAGAAGACACATGTAATGATATGATAAGACTGAGTGTTTGACTTTGATCATTTTCTTATGCCCACAAATCATTACTGTCAGCACGGAGGACAGAAAGGAGACTGGTTTAAAAGCTGCTAATTACAAAATGTCTACTGGGGGAAAACGGGGGGAGGTAGTTAATGAATATGAGCTTTAAAAAATGCATTTAAACCCAAGTGTCAGGCCCAATCCTAACCAGAAGTATCAAGTAGCACTTTATTTTACTACAGGACTACCAATTTTTTTTTAATGGTTTGTTTCACTCAGCTGAGGTGCCAGGTGGGTGGTGTTTGCCACATGCATAGAATAAAACAAGGAATGCCAGAAGGTTAGGAGGTGTGCTTGAATATATATAACACCAGTGAATTTATTGTTTCTTCCCGGATGGACAGCTTACCTGACACTATCTGAATTGTCTTTGTGCAGTAAACCCCATCCATCTGGTGCACACACTGAGATAAAACAAACACTAAAAAGTGACATGCAAATATTATTGTTAAGACTTGTGTCTCATCCTAAGCAGCATTTTAGAGAGAGCTGCCATTTGTTATTTAGAGAAACTGACAGACACAGTATGGAGATTCTTCAACTGAGGTCACTGAGTTGAGCTTTTTCTTTAACTTTTCAAAAAGAAAAAAGAAAACATGTTGACGTGTAAGTGACCTGCCAACAAAATATCAGAAAACAAAAGAAACAGAACTGATTGGACCAATCCTTTAGGTGATTTATAGTCGTTGAAATTCGTTGAGCTTTGGAGTCTTAACTTTAGAGTTTCTTTTGGTTCTGCAAAAAAAACTGAAAATAATGTAATTTTTTAATATTTTAAGTACAATCTAATTTGTTAAGACATCCTAAAGGAGTGGTCAATTTAAACAAAGCCTTGGGCGACAATAGAAACTGTAATATAACAGCGTTTGTGAAGGCTCATTGTGCCTTTGGAAACTATAAGACATAGCTTTAAGTGCAAGGGTAGACTCTGTTTAGATCAATATTAATAAATAATAATAGGACGAGTTAATTAATTTAGTGGCCTGATCATTTTAATATGTCAAGGGCTAACTTTGTGCTATATGATGCTACAGGCACTAATGGGAAGCCACTGGAAAATGAGCTCTGAGAAATAACACAGCATCATAGTATGACTGGTCTGTCGCCCAAGCCTCTGTTTGATCTTAAGGGTAAAATAAAACTACAACTACACACTTTTTTGCCCATGATGTCGTGAAAATGCATGTTGACAGCCTGGTCCACTGATTGTTCGGCCTCGAAAGTAATAAATCCAAAACCTAGCCAACGACCAAGAGTGAATCAAGGTAGCAGGGGGGTTGTGACAACACAAGATGAAGAACAGTATTGGGCTTCAGCAGAGTGAGGATCCGTCAAGACTGAGCAAGAGGCTCCTGGGGTTCGGATGATGTCGCAGACTCGTAGAACAACACAAATCCAAGACTAAAAGCCTGGGGGATTGAAGGAAACTTCTCTCTTTACTGTGCAGTGAAATATTTTGTGAATGTAACAACACATGACTTCTTAACTGCTAAACATGAAGACTGATGAGTGCAGCATTTGATTTTAATGTGAAATGTCACAGAAGAAAAGTCAATTAAGTCCATCTTTCAACCCCACTAACGTTGATGAATGCCAATTGGACAAATACTACATTTTGTTACTTCATGCCGTTTCATCCAAACCCCACCTTGATCTGTCCCTTGGTATATTGCTGTGGAGCACACACTCGCAGCAGCCATTGTTAATGCATCACAAAAATATGGAGAAACACAAACTGTAGAATGCCTAAAGCTTTCTCCAAGCTTTCCCAAATTCAGTATTTTACTTTTGAGTCAGCCAGGATAAGCCTAAAATGGACAATTAAAATATTGCTCACAACGGTAACACAAAGATATAGGCCAGAACTGGTTTCCCAAAGCGGCGAGTTGCTGATTTTGATCGAGTTTTCATGGGGGATACACAAAGTTCATCAACAAGGGCGCAAAAACTCTCTATAGAACTTTTTGGTCCAAGGTTTTGGCCACGCCAACCTCTCAGTAAAGCTTTTCATCTATAGACTATCTGGAACAGAACTTTTGAGAGCGTCAGCAGCCTGTACCGCGTTGCAGTGATCTACTTTCAATTTGATTAACTTTCCGCTGTGGCAGAATTGGGTTGTGTGCACAACTCTACTTGGGGACCTAACCTGAATCCAATTAAACGTCCTACGAGACAACTGAGATTTTAGAGACCTCTAGTACCCATGCCAACCGTTCCCCAAGCCTCATGATCTATTGCTAATAATAACATCTGTCAATGACCCGTCCTTAATCTAAATTTAAAACCAAAATTGACACATTAAAGAGTTTGACATATCCTGGTCACGGTGACGTGGTTACATTCAAGTTGAAGACTTTTTGATGAAACTAAAAATGTTGGACGTAAAACTGGGATCATTCATAGATCTGCAACAACTATTTGATAACCGATCAGTCAATTAACAGGAAATTAATCTACAACAATTCTGATAATAAAATAAATGTCACTGAATCGATAATGAAAATGTTTGTTGCACCTCTAATCATTTATTCTCTCTATAATTATATTATATAGGAAAATGGTCTGATAAACGAAGCACTGACTGGTCTCTATTTTTGAGATAAAGGTCTGATATTCTCTGATATTGTCTGTCAACATCATCCTCCAACTAAACCTCCTGCTTTTAAAAAAATAACAATCATGTCAGGTGTCTTTTTTTCCATCAAACACAAGAATTCAAATTCAAATTGCTGCATAACCTGGAGATAAAATCCTCAAACAAATTCTCTCTCTTTAGTAACCGCCAACAGGTAATCCTTCAGCCTATTTCACAATTTGATGTAACTTTGTCTACGCCCCATTCTGACCAAGTAATAAATTTGGGTGCTTTTACATTTGGCCTGTACCTCTGTGCTACCAGTCAATGCACAGTAACCTAAAGGAGAAAAGACAAATCTTAAGAGACACCGTTAATCACATTCAAACCATTCACAAGGAGAAGGGGGACAGAAGAAAGAAAAATAGAAAAGGGCTTACTTACAAAAATACTTAACTTTCTACATATGGGAAAACACATACTATGCCATTTAAGATACATGTATCAGTTACGTCTAAATCAAGGTAAAGAAAACTTATTCCAACGTTGAAAGTCTAATGGTTTTAGTAAAAGAAACTGATTATACTATTAAAGATTATGTAATGGTTGTTACTGGTACAATACATCATGTTAAATTCCAATGACAAACTATTCTGGGTTTCTCCCAATAGAGAATGAATGGGGGTTTTGAAGGAGGAGCAGTTATAACATGTTGTGGGTCAGTGGCCGCTGCATCGTTGCTATGTAGGACGAATGCAGATGAAACAGCTGTGGCTGTAACTCAGCAGGCAGAGTCTGACACCAACACTGCCGGTGGCGTGGGGTCTGATTCCCAGTGAGGCCATCCATGCTAAAAGTGTCAGAGCATGTCATAAACTCATGACACATTCATGATTAAACTGACTTTGTTATATTTTTAAAAAACGTCTACCAATTTCTTCTGTGAGGAAATAGGTTAGAGAGACTTTTTGAAATAGCAAAAGGAAATGTAAAAACCTTGTTAAATGATCCCATTGTTCTAGTGATAACAATGTAATGTTCACCTTCAGTGTTTGGGCAGAAAGCAGCTACTTTGAAGGACAAATCCTCCCTTAGACACTCAAACTGTGCTCAATATGCCAGTTGCATGTTGTGATAAAGTACTGTACTTTTTGGAGCACCTACTTTCCTACAATCCGTCTTCTCTCCTTCAGTTCCTTTGTCTTCCTCGACGCCTTTTAAACAAACTTTCTAATCAGATGAACCTCTTGTATCCAATACGTTTTTATGGAGATACTTTCTAGTAGAGAAAAGGTTTAGGCGTTACACTCTTAAATAAAATAATAAACATGATACATCTTGTAGTTGTATTGAATTCTGCTTTACTGTAGGGACAAACAGGCATCCCTACTTCTTTTCTTTTTTATCTTTGATGGTGTTAATCAGTGGTTCCCAACCTTTTTCCCTAAGGGCACCCCTAAAGTAGTACACTGACAAACCCTGAATAAGTAGCATTTTATGGATATTTCATATTATATTACGATTACTGAATATTTTTAGGGTCTTTTTATACAATTCTTTGTCTGTATTGTTTTTTTTTTTATCAGTCATACATAATTAATATGCTTCTTATTTGACAAATTCAGTGTTTTCTTCTCCCTGACACTTGGCCATTGTTCTAGTAGCACTTTGGTTATTTTAACCGCTTACTTTTCTAATGCAGAACGAGGCTGTTTAGCAGAGTGTGAAGGCTCGATGAATTATAGCTTGTCTCTTCAAAGTCCTTGATCTTGAATAACAATCTTAAATTTAAACGTAATTTCATTTTAGTTTCACAGAAAAGAATGAACTGCTGAGATATAGACCTACTGGATATATTTTATATTTATTTTAAAGCCCCTTAAAATCAAGAAGGCCTTACAACACCCCATGAAGCTTTGGTGACCCCTAATGCGGGTCCTGACCCTCAGGTTGGGAACCACCGATTTAAATAACTTACACTGGAAACATGTTAGGAAGGGAAGTCCTATGAACAGGAGGGATGATTAACATCAATGTTCATATGGGCACTACTGGGGCCTTTTCTGCGTGTCATCCCCTCTCTCTCTCTCTCTACCCACCTTTCCTGTCTATCTGCAGCTGTCTCTATCAATAAAGGCATGAAAAGGCAAAAAAAAATGGAAAACATATGGGCACTACTACTGACTAGTGTTTTTAAACATCAGATATTAGTGGACTTAAACCTAAAAATTCATACATCCTCAAAGACATCTGAATGTTTCACTGAGCTGTTTGAATCTTCCTCTGAGGCTTTATAACATTTATGAGGACCCTCTGTGCTCCGTTAGTTAGAATAATACATTTTTATAATCACCCCAACAATAACATAACCCATGTAGAAAGTCCAGGTTTCTCTTAAAGGTTTCTACTATTTCCACCCCGATGAAGACCTTGTAAGGTCGAAACTAATCCGTGTTTTAACCAATATTCTTGACTGAAGGCTTTTAACGTAGCTTCTCTCTTTGCTCTTTTCTGAAAACAGTATATTTAACAGACTCATGTTGTCGCACAAGGTCATTAAGGACACTGCATCAGTCCAAATCAGAGCCTGCGATTTAACAATTTTCAGGTTTCTAGCCTGTGACAAAGGCTGAGACGTGGTTTTAAAAAGGTGCCATCTACTGTTGTATTATGTGACCGAATTATACGCAACATTGCACAAATTCAGAAGCATCACAAACTGAAGGTGTTTAAAGAATTTCATGGATTTCACAGGAGACCAGTGTATTTCACGTCACACTAAGCTTTTCATTCCACCTCTAGAAATGTCAAGTTACATTTTCCATTTTATGCACGCTGTGGTGAGTCGGTATGTAAGGTTTTATTTAACATGCTTCTGTGTGTTTTATTGTGCGTTTTAACCATACACGAAATTCCTGTTCTGGGTGACAGTGGTTAAATTGAATTGAATATGTGGAGCTGAATGGGCTTTTTTTTTTTTTCTCTTTGGGCCGGAATAGTTTGTCATGAGATTTAAGATGGTAAGGTATGGAGAGGGGAGAGAAAAAACGGGATCAGCTTTTACCTCGGGGCCTCTGCTTCTCCGCATCATAGATCATTACCACCTCTGTGACCTTGAATGGGACAAAGGGAAACAGTGGCTCCATTTAGAAAACCAGACAGGGTCCGTTCTTAGTCCAATTAAATATTCTGCCTCAATTTGGACAAATAATTAATTGTCCTATCCCATCCCTGTAAATTTAAATTTTTATTGTAGTATTGACCCTGTTCAATGTCACACCCATTCAAGCAGTCTTAATGACGATATGAACTGACTTGCATTGTGCACATGGTAATACTCACCACTCCGAATCTATTGAAATAGTCCCTGAGTTCAGGCTCGCCGCAGTTATGGGGGATTCCACCTACAAATATCTTCTTTGATTTATTGCTATCTGCTTTGCTGCCCTTCTGAAAGAAAACAGGGAGTGTATGGATTTCAATGTCTGTTAAAGGATCACTCTGGGAAGGGGCCAGTTAGCCATCATCTATTCAGACAGTGCAGAAGAAATTAGGTTCTCCTCTTGCCCTGGGGTATAATTCTTAACATGTCATGTCAATGCAAACACTAGTCTCCACAGATCAGAGAGCACGGCTTCCTCCACTCACTCTCAACCACTAAGCATCTCACCATTGCTGTGCACTGCACTCATGCTGTAAAAGGCTGGAGGCTGCTTACGACAATAATGATTTTTAACAATTACATCTTCTGCTTTGTTAGTAAAACATTCAGTTGCAGCTACGCGACTTAAATTCAGTGAAAGGAGTTCCAGTACCAGGGAAAGAGCCTCATTTATAAAAGCTTCTGACTTACAATCTATGCTTGTAGCCAAATATGTGACTTATAAAATTGTTTTACTGACAGCAAAGGTGCAATAACTAAAATCTTTGCTGCCCAAAGGGACAACATGTCTATAATAGATCTGCAGTGGCTAGATAGCATTGTTGATCAGCCCACAAATTACCCAAGTTGGTGCAGAGTTTCCTGCCTTTCAAAAAAAAAAGAAAGAAAAGAAGCAGATTTCTGCACCACACCAGCCTACTCGTCTCTGAACCTACTTGTGTTTTCTCATCCTTATTCAGTGAGCGAGAGCATTATAAAAACAACACATTTCTAAATATTCAAAAATCAAGAAAACTGTTCATAAACAGAACATAGAAGTGTTATTATAATTACAATATTTAGCACGGTGATACAGGCTTTATGACCTCTTCGTGAGTCATTTCTGTTACATTTGGAAAAAATGTGACCTTATTATGAGTCAATTCCAGTAAACTGCACCAGATATCTGCTGATATTGCTGCAGCCCCTTGATCACAAATAAAGGTCAAAACAAGCCATAGATTCTTTAATGCTCCTGTGATTTACCAAAACCCCAAAGTAATTTCCAGCGTTCTCAAATGTATGAAGGCTGCACACTGTGGTCATTTCTTTGATGAAAAGAAAGAGATTTAGGTCAGAGTGTTTTTATAAATGAAGCTCAAGGTCTCCTCATGACCCGTGATAAAGAAAGTCCAACCTCAGGAGGAGGGTATGGAGAGACTGACGGCCTGAAAACACCTAGCCTAGCCTCCCCAGCAGAAAAAGGAGTCCTCTTACCCAGCCCTCCTTGGTTCGAGACTTTTCAGGTTGCATTCCTCTGGGGGTGCATGGCTTCGGGTCAATCTGACAGCAGAAACAGAGAGAACACGTTTGACATCAGCACCAATTAATAAAGGCACCTTCAAATGTTCTTCTTCACTGAATCCATTACGGTGTATTGGCTGGCGTCACACAACAGTGCAACATATGTACTGACACGTCATTTAAATATGTAGCCAATAAAATTTTACGCCCTTCTCCGCCTCCGTTAACAGAACAAAGGAGGCAATATGTCTTTCATAGGGAGCTGAGTGCAGCCAGCTCAGAGAAACACGAGTTAAACTGCCGGTTTAGCTCATTTGACTTTGAACAGGTAAGTCTTGTTAAGCAAACAAATGTCTGCAAAAAAAACTATCTGTACTAATGTCTGCAAGCAGGAACAACCTAAAGCGAAACTGCACTTCTCCTTGAATAACTTCTAACTACTCTGGATGATGAAATACGGGACGAGGTTTTGCACATTGCTCACAAAAAGCGCGGGCAGATTACTCGAGTTGATTTGACTATCTGCTCCTTTGATTCAAAATACTCACATTTCTTCCATCAAGATTATGTGGCTTTGTCTCCAGCACTGTCCGTACACAGTTGGGGTCTTTGAATTTGACAAAGCCGAAGCCTCGCGACTGATTTGTAGTTTTGTCCTTCATGATGACACAATCTACTACTTCCCCATACTGTGAGAAGTAGTTTCTCAGTGTCTCTGAGAAAAGAAAGAAATTAAAATTAAACACGGCTGCTTCATAAAACACAGAAACATACTGCAAATATAATCAGCCCAGCTCTCCTCCTGAACACAAAGAAGTGCAGTCATGATTTATAGAACTCTCTCATTATGATAAATGACGCTGAGAAAACATCTTCAGCACTTCAAACCTGCACTAAAAGTGTAACTGGGACCAAAACAGGTGTGGAAAAAAAAAAAAAAAACCCCACAAGCAGCTCTCCATAAAACTGCACAGGGAACACTACAAGTCATTCAGTGACCTTGGTTTATCTTATGGCAGAATATAGTGAATTGTTCTTTTTTATTTTTATTTAAAAACCTAACACAGTCGACATTTCAGCCACATACCGACACGCAGAGCAAACACAGCACTGACCCACCGCCGTGTTACGTAGCACTCGATGTACAACGACTGTAACGCCCGCACACGCCCACAGAAGCAAGGCGTGCAAGTTTGAACAAATGAGGACTCACTTTGGAAGAGAGTTATCGTAATTGCTTTTCTCATTGCTGGGAAGCCCTGGGGCATCGCCAGGGAAACAAGCTGAGAGTTACACAGCGCTGTGGTTCAGATATTAATGTTAACAGTGCTGTTAACACAGGCAAGCCCTTGTGCAAAGTTACACAATTACCCACCGAGCACGAGCCAGTAAAGTGCTTTAGACGAACCAGACCATCTCTGGGCAAGTCTGCATGAGAGGACGATGTGGACGGTATAACACTGAAGTCTAGCACCAGTGTTCCCGGTTTGTAACTCACCATCAGTGATGTGAACAGGGAGACAATCAAACTGTGTTAATACAGAGAAACAGCCGCCACAAATAGACTCTACACTATCTGCGTGAAGTACAGCTGAACTATATATAATATACCTATATAGTATATAGTATAACGTTACACGCTTCTATTATTTAGTCCGTTTAATGTCATATCGTGATGTTAAGGCGGTATCAGTATCGATGTTTAATAAACGTCACGGTTCAAACGTCACACTGTGGTTACTCTGACACATGCTGTGATACGAGTCACCATTAGTGTGTGAACGATTTTCACTATTTAAATCATGATGTGACATATTTTGGGGTGTGTACCAAACAAACGTGTTTTCTTACTTTTGGAGAGCAACATTTGTAGGCCAGGGATTCTCTGCAGCACTATAACGTTCAACCTTTATCAAAGAACTGCAGCTTCTGTGATTTGCATCATGCATTCGACCGTATTACAATTAAATAATGTTTTAATTACTGGAATGATGTAGTTATTATAACAGCGTGACACTAGAGCTACATACTTATCTACGTTTTACTGGTGCCAATATGATGCCTGCTTGTTTTACGACCGACTTTAGTGCATATAGATGTTATTCCACTAAGCTTGTTTCTATTTTTTACTAAATTAACCAATCTGACGCGCATCAGTGCCTAACGGTGCCTTAACACAGCCACGAGCCCTTTATCTTAATAAAACATAACATAATATGAACAAGACAATTTAAATCAGCCAACATTTCATCAAATAATAAAAAAGCAAGACGATCTTTGTTAGACCACCGTAGCTATATTAGTAGTTTATACCGTCAGAGACCTTGTATGCACTAAATATACCGATATTAATATGAAGGCAGCTGTAAAAACACTAATATTTATATTTTAATAATAATGCCCAGCTGTTTTATAGCAAAATATAACCTGATTATTATTCAAACAAGAGTCCCAACAAGCTACAACAGCAGATCCATGCAGCCACATCGGTGTCACACAAACAAAATCCCTTTTAATCACAACAACAACAAAAAAACACCTCACAGGTGAATTAAACAGCGTCACTCACCTTGTGTTGTACTCCAGTCCAACCCACCCACAAAAAGTTTCCTGAAAAGAGTAGAGACACAAGCCATCATCACAAAGACAACAACAAACCATGGAGAGATTCTGTCTGTACGGAGGCCTTAAAATACTAAAATAAATAAACAACAACAACAACAGCAGCAGACTGGAGAAGACTGAAAGCAGTTTCAGAGCCACAACAACAGCTACAGCTGACTAAACAGCCAAGTACACAGATATTACACAACATGAGGCAACGCTGCTACCAAAGCAGCTGCAGCACACACACACACACAGCTGAAATAACACTGCTTTATATGACTCAGTCCTTGCAGTGGATGTCACTTTTAGGTTTTATCTAACGCTTTCTGACGCCACGGCCTCCACAATAATGCTCTCTCTTAATGAACCTCCTGCCACGTAAGTTACACACCGACCAGCACCGGCACCGGCACCGGTTCTGCTGGAGACCCGGAGGATGTTACAGCCGAGAGGAGAGCGACTGCATGCGGTTGAGGGGAGGGAGGGAGAACCGGTGAACTCTCCACAAAACTGCAAGTTTAGCTCTCAGTTTAAAGCATCAAACCAGTTAATTAACCAGTTAATTAACGCCCGGTGAAGCCTGTGTTTACTGCGGCTGGTGGGAGACGTGCAGGGGCAGAGGATGCTCCATCCCGTCCCCCCGGCAGTGCCCGCTAAACGTCCTCACACCGGGGGAAGTCGAGACCAGGAGACTTTCGCTTCGCTGGCAAACGTTAGCCTGAGCTAGCTGCGAGCTAACCGCAGAAGCAGCGGTGTGAATAAGTGAGTGCACTTTCACACAGTCTCCCTTCAACGAGCCCGGCGGCGGCAGCACGGACTGACACCGGCAGCAGTCACACGAACAGTCGAGCTACTTTAATCACTACTTTCTGTTGTTGTTTTTTTAAAGGCTGGCGATCTCGCTAAGTTACTAAAAAAAAAAAAAAGCTAACGTTAGCTCGCTAGCTAACGTTAGCTGTCAAATGACAGACGTTGACAAGATTGTTAAGATCTAACAAACGGCGGGAAAAGGCTTCGTTAAATGGATCTTACCCGACTTCATCTCCGACTAAGTTGTTGTTCATTTTCTGAGGCTAAAGCAGGGGGGGACCGTAGGAGCTGTGACCGGCTTATTGCTTCAGTGCTGCCCCTCTCAGACTGAGAGCGGAGGAAGGTCACTCCGCTTCTTGGTTCAAACTGCTCTGCGCAGTGACGACGCTGCGGGGGGCCGCGGCCTTTAAAGGGACATTACACTCTTTATATATCACTCTTTATATATCATCTTATTATCATTTATATCATTTATATTATCAACTGTTTATATCATTTATTATCAATCTTTACTAATCATCACTGCTTTATTCATTTATTCATTTTATATATCATGTTTATATATCACTGTTTAGTATATCACTCTTTATATATCACTCTTATATATCACTCTTTATATATCATTTATATATCACTCTTTATATATCATTTATATCATTTTATATATCACTGTTTATATCACTCCTTTTTATCACTGTTTATATATCACTCTTTATATACATCACTCTTTATATATCATCTTTTATATCATTTATATCATTTATATATCACTGTTTATATCATTTATATTATCACTCTTTATATCACTCTTTATATATCACTCTTTATATATCCACTCTTATCACTGTTTATATATCTACTGTTTATATCACTTCATTTATATATCACTCTTTATATATCACTCTTTATATATCACTCTTTATATCATTTATATCATTACTATATCACTGTTTACTAATATCACTGTTTATATCACTCTTTATATCACTCTTTATAATCAATTTATATATCACTGTTTATATATCACCTGTTTATATCAATCTTTATATCACTCTTTATATCCACTCTTTATTATCACTGTTTATATCACTTTCTTTATATCACTCTTTATATCATTTAGTATCCACTCTTTATATCACTCTTTATATATCATCTTTATATCAACTCTTTATATCACTCTTTATTATATCACTCTTTATATATCATTTATATCCATTATATATCACTGTTTATATCACTCTTTATATATCACTCTTTATATCATTTATATATCACTCTTTATATCACTCTTATATATACTCTTATATCATTTATATCATTTATGAATATCACTGTTTATATCCAACTCTTTAATACTATCACTCTTTATATCACTGTGTATATCACTCTTTATATCACTCTTTATTCATTTATATCACTTATATCACTGTTTATCACTCTTTATATCACTGTTTATATCACTCTTTATATCATTTTAGTCATCATTTATAATTCATTTATATATCACTGTTTATATTCATTTATATATCACTGTGTTAATTATCATTTATATAATCATTTATATATCACCGTTTATTATCATTTATAATATCATTTTAATATCACTCTTTATATCATTTATATATCCACTGTTTTATATCATTATATATCACTGTTTATATCATTTATATATCACTGCTTTATATTCATTTATATATCATTTATATTCATTATATATCCACTTTTATATCAATTTATTATCACTGTGTAGTATCATTTATATTCACCTGTTTATCACTCTTTATATCACTGTTAACTTTAATATTCATTAATATCATTTATAATCATTTTATATCACTATTTATCCGTATCCATTATATATATCACTGTTATATCATTTTATATATCATTTATAATCACGCTTTATATCATTATCATATTCATTTAATATATCACCTCTTTTAATCATGTTTATATCACTGTTTTCTATCATTTATATATTCACTGTTTATATCATTATATATATCACTGTTTTACTATCATTTATAATCATTTATATATCACTGTTTATATTCATTTATATCACGTGTATATCAATTTATATAATCACTTGTTTATATCACTGTTTAATATCATCTATTTAGGGTCACACTTCATTAAGTCCCCTATCAAGGAAAAAAA